TCTTTAGCTATTTATTTATAAACGAAGGTTCTATTATCTCTTCCCTTTTTTTTTTCGTTTTTTTAATTTTTACTTCGTACGTTAATCTGAAGTCTAGCGAACATACGTAGTGTTCGATAACAACCGGTGACGTGGGCTTCGCTGAAAATCGTCAGAGAAAAGCATCGTTCTTTTACACCTTCGGACCACTTCTTCTACTTCGACGTATTTTTTTTTCGCGTTCTGTTTTTCTTTTCTCTCTCTTCGTTTGTTCAATTCTGTGATGAAAGTACTTGGTACTTTCCCCGAGTTGACTTTTTTTCGTTGTGTACGTGCCGTTCGGTTGAACGATTTCACGAGAGAGAAAGAGTGAACGTGTGTGAGAGAGAGAGAGAGAGAGCTTTTACTGACGTTTCGCGGGAGGAAGAAAATGGAAAGGAAAATGTTTTAAAATGGAGAACGCTTTCGTGAAACGTCCATGACCCGCTGTAACGACGTGTAACCTTTGTATTTGTATCGTTACGATAAATCTCTTAAACTGTACCGATTATTCGAGTATTACGACTTTAAAGCGGCAGAAGTAATCTATAAATATTGTACTGTAAGTGAGAAAGTAAAATAAACGTTAAGTATTATCCTTCGAAAGCAGCATTCGATCGTATAATCGCTAGCTCGTCCTCTTGCTCCCGTTTCCATCACGATTAGTCGACTATAAACCACTTTCTCCTCGATTTATTCTCGTTTTCAGCCTGTTTCCTGGCTTCGACCATTATTCACGTAGATTTTCTGCTAACTTTTACACCCTTTCAAGAGTCTGTAAGAAAACTTTTCAGTATTTCTATTTCGTTTGAAACAATTCGTGGTACTGTTTACTCTTGGTGCACTTTTGTTAAACATTCTGAATAGTCGTTGCTTGCTTGCATGTTTCCCTTCGAGTTGCTTTTCTTGCAGATCTACGTAATCCCTTCGTTGTTCGGCCATTCTTTGATCCTCGCGTAGACCTTTCTACGAAATTTTCTTTCTTTCTGTTCTATGAATTTCTCGTTATATTCGTTGCATTTTGCGACCGAAATTCGGCCCAAGGAATTTATACAAAAATTACTTGAGGACATTGAATGAAATTTTCAAAAATAATGCATTTTTTTAAACAGAACAGGTTTAAACTGAACTTCGAAGTAGGATCTAGAGTTGCGAAATAAAGTTTAAGAAGCGCAAAAAATTGCGAAGTTTCAAAGCGAGGCCATTAAATACACCTTGAATGTCTCATTATCTCCGGGCAAAGTTTCCAGCTGCATAGCTTCATCGACGAGAACCGCGAAATTTTCGCGTTTCAGAATGGGAATCGGTTCAATGGATCCAATGGACCCGGAAGACGCGTCTGGTCCCCGATTCATGAGATCTGAACAATGTGATTCGGCCGCGAAATCCAAGAATTCACAAGTGAAAGGTGGTCGGGGGTCGGGAAAATCCTCGAAAACAAAGACGAAGTAGCCGGGGCCTATCGAAATCCGACACTGTGACGGTCGAGGCGCGATGGAAAACGTGGAAAGAAGAAGGTTTCGTGTTCATTGTTGAAGTTCGACGAGCGACAGCTGCGATCGCCATTCGTAGACCCAACGCCATTCATTCGGTTCGCACCTCTGCGACACCCCAGAGTCCGTGAAAACACCTAGCTCGTTGTGAACGAAACCTACCTTGCACGATTTCATGGTCGATAAAAGGGACGTCGAGTTTCTGGGAAAGTTTTCCACGAAAGAGGGGTTCGTGAATGACGGTCAGGTGAGTTAGGTGAAAATTTGTGGTAATGTAAATGTTTAAACGTTGAGGAAAGTGGCGTGATTTAGAAAATTTCAATGTTGATTTTTTGGTGAAAATAGACTGCATAAGTACAGTATTTTCATCACGGGGAAAGAAGAATGACTTGATTGATTTGATTCGTTACAATCATATTCCAAAATTTCATGCTTCATTTTATGAAACTGTACCTACGTAAGTGTTAACTTTTTGTCGTGTGCATTCATTATTTTTATAATATTGTAATTTAATGTTTGTTGCAATGCACTTTCTTGAACAATAGTAAAATTTGAAAAAGGGTGGATTAGAATATCAATGGTATCAGTTCAATTTATTTCATCACAACTCTTCATCAGCTTAAACAACACCAAACTTCATCAAACATCGAAACAGGAAAAAAAATCTCAAACCTGTAATTAATCTACTAAACAATTTCTTCGATGTTAAACTAAGTGACAAAAGTCAACGGTATACGTTCAATTTCATTTCAACTGTTCGTTATCTCAAACAATCTCAAACTCCGTCAAACACTAAAAACGAAATAAATCTCAAATTCTCTAATGGTAGAGAAAAACAGTAAACTCTCTCAATCCACTGACCAATTCCTCAAATTTTAAACTAAATTAAAAAAAAAGCAACGGTATCAATTCATCTAAATCCTCCGTCACCTCGAACATCCCCGAAATCCATCAAACGCCAAAAGAAACCATCTGAAATGAAACGAAAGAACCCAGCAGTCGAATGAAACGTTCCATCAGCCATCAAGCAATCACAACCACCGATCATTACCCACTCCCTTCACCCCAGTCTCGTTCTAAGGTGTCGAAAGTTTGGTTGCCACTGTTCAAGAGATAACCGTCACTTCAGAAGCAAATCCCAGTCATAAAAGAAGCCATAACGAGCAGTTACACTTCTCAGCAGACACCTCTGCTTACCATTACCTCGTCGATGACGAAAGAAAAGAAGGCAACCTGCACGGTAGCAACGTTTCTTCCTCTTCCAAGGCGATAACGAGGCGGTGCTCGCGAGAACGGTGATTACCGACTTATGCACGCCTCTTCACCACGACAAACTGACAATTTTCACCGTCATTATCCACTCGAGGGCCTCTCCCATTGTTTCTGATCCCGTGGAGGGTCATTATGCGACGCGTTTACGCGCAAAGGACACGCGGCAGTTCAGCCAGAGGTGGCTACCTTCTCATTAAATCCATTATAGCGAGTGAGCAGCGATGGACTCGAGGCGGAGGCAAGGCTGACGGGTCTCTCCTCGGTTAGACAGATCGTTTAGGTGGAATCTAAATCATCCAGCGGACGTTCAACTGTTCCTAGCAACCTCTCACGACTTCATTAGTACCTGCTGACTTTGGAATGCTCCGCTTAGGTGGACCAGCTTAGACGGTCCGAACGTGTTTGAAGAGGTGTTACGCTCACGCTTCTGCGCTGTTTTTCTTTTTTCTGGGTTTCCTGATTCCTGCGGTTCATGTAGGTATTTCTGACGGAAGATCAGGAAGACAGATCAAACTAAATTGTCTATTTGTTGACGTGGGAATTTTTGGTTTAATTGAAAAATAAGAGAATGGCA